GGCCCACGGCCCCAGAACCAGGGCTGCTCTCAGCCCTCAAGACGCACTGCAGGATGAGCCTGTCCTGGGCAGGGACAGCAGCTGAGACAAACCCTGACCCTGACAGAGCTGAGACCATGATTGTCAGCCTGGCTTTCTCTTCCTCAGGCTCCATCCACCCCCTTCCTCAGGGGTGTGCCCCTGGCCCTGCCATCCTAGACCCCCGCCGCTCCCCTCCCCTGTGACCATGGTCTTCGGCCTCTGAGGTCCTGGACCTAAGCAGACTCTGGCGCTGCCTCCCTGGCCTGCAGAGCCCGCGGGGCCACCGACGTCCAGCAGTCCCGGTGCCGGCCCAGGCCTGTCTGGTCTGGGAGGGGCTCCCCTCTGACCCTTCTCACTTCCTGGAAACATGAGCGGCGTTGGTGGTGGGGGGGCAAGGGTGCTCAGGCGGAGAGCTCCCGTGGGAGGCGGGGGAAGGAGGCCACTCTCCAGCACCCGGAACTCATCTGTGGGGACCCATGACCCTCAGCCGACTCCTCCAGGGATCAGGAAGCACCCACCAGAGCAGGCCCAAGGGGTCAGGCCGAGGCCCAGGTGGACAGAGCCTCCCTCCCCCAGACTCCGCTTCCAGGTGGCAGTAAGGGGGCAGGTCCCCAGCCCCAGGCAGTGTTGGGGAGCAGGCAGAGACATGGGGGGCGGGGCGTGGGGTCTCTTTGGCTCCAGGTGCAGGGAAACCGGTCCCTCACCCGCCCTTGGTAACATCAGGCAGCCGGCCCCAGGCAGCGGGCGGGCTTCTGGGAAAGGGACCAAGCAAGACACGGGCCAGGGCGGGCGGGGGCAGGGGGCGCAGAGCACTACAGACAAGTGGACGAGGGGGCCACAGACAGACGGGACGGCTTACTTTTGAGAGGCGCCTGTGAGACTAAGGCCGTGCATGCAAAGAAGGGGTGCGGCGAGGGGGGAAGAGGAAGAACAAGAAGTCAAAAGGCAGCTTCAGGTCCAGGCCGTTCCGTGCCTCCCTGTCCCCAGAACCCTCCCAGGCCTGCGAGCCCAGAGGGAGGGGCATCTAGACACACACCTGCTGCTCCCCAGGGCTGAGGGGCAGGGACTCTGGGCCCCAGGAGCAGCCCAGCCCGGGGCTGCCCTCATGCCTGTCCTCAGGCACAGGCTGGTGCTCACGGTGGTGCCCACACCTGGGAGGGAGGGGGAGTGCCTGTCCCGTCTTCCCGGACAGATGAGCATCAAACGGATGTCACCAAAGGGAGACAATGTGAGGCCAGGGCGGGGGCTGCAAATAGCATGAGGGTCAACCCATGAGCAGGAGGTCAGGGTTCGATTCCCGGTCAGGGCACATGCCCGGGTTGCAGGATCGATACCCAGGGTGGGGCCTGCAGGAGGCAGCCGGTCCATGATTCTCTAGCATTGATGTTTCTATCTCTTTCTCTCTCTCTCTCCCTTCCTCTCTGAAATTTAAAAAAAAAGAAAAAGGCTAAACACAGACCCGTCCTGACTCAGGAGCCCCCCTCCTCCAAGCCTCCAGGTGCGAGGCCCCCAGCCCCTCCACGGGGTCGTGACAGCCCCAGCCTTCCCTGAGCGCTCAGCGGAGAAGAGGGCTGTAAGGAGGCTCCCTGCCTGCCCACCCTCACCCCTGAGCCAGGGCTCTCAGGACACTCGGGTCCCTCAGGAAGGGGTGATCACCTCCCCGTCCCCCAACACCACGCTCCCGCGCGTCAAGCAAGTGGCGTCCAGGACAGGGACCCCGGCTCACCTTGGAGTTCTTGCCGCCTCCACTCCGGCCGGACTGCGAGGAGCAGCTGCGCTGCACGCCCTGCTCAGGCGTGGAGGGGGACTTGTCCGAGGAGTGGTCGGATCCCTTCTCCACCATGGCGTCCGCGTCCGGGCTCTGCGGGGTGGGCGAGCGGGACCGCTTCCGGAGGACGAGAGGGAGAAAGGGGCCCAGCTACACTCACGGCACCGCAATACTGCCGCTGGCCAGCAGAGGGCGGTGGTGTCAGCGTGAAATGGAAACCGGCGTAGGAAGGGCCAAATGGACACAGATATCCATCCGCCTCCCTCCACCCATCGCCCCATCCACCCACCCACCATCCCTCCACCCGTCACCTGTCCGCCCACCTACATGTTGCTGGAGCCCTTACGGTATGCCAAGGACTGTCTAGAAAAAACAGATTTTAAGGGCTGGAGGGTCATTAGAGGTCATGTAATACTATCAGCGCATTGACACATGCTGCCAACCCAGTTTTTACATTTTGATTGGGAGATATTTATCCACATAAATAACCCTACTTTCCAAAGCACTCACATACATATGATTTCACTGGGATCTTAAATCATTCCACCGAGGTAGTAGTGAGAAATGCCATAATCCCTGTTTTATTTTTTAAAATATATTTTTTATTGATTTCAGAGAGGAAGGGAGAGGAAAGATAGATACAAACATCAACGATGAGACAGAATCATTGATTGGCTGCCTCCTGTGCGCCCCCTACTGGGGACCGAGGCCACAACCCCAGGCATGTGCCCTTGACCGGAATTGAACCAGGGACTCTTCAGTCCACAGGCTGACGCTCCATCCACTGAGCCAAACTGTCTAGGGTGACTTTGACACTCTTTACTGATACAGATCTAAAG